GCTAAATTATTATTATTATACAGTATTTATAAAGCGCCAATAGTTCGCTCAGCGCTGTACATTACAAAGGGGGACAGAACATGTGACAGAACAATACCAATACAATGCAAAACATGAGGGGATTGAGGGCCCTGTTCTTTCCAGCTTACAATCTAGGAGGGAGGGGATGGTGGCACAGGAGGAGATAGCTGTGGGGGATGGAGTGGTAGGAAGAGTGGAGGAGGTCGGCAAGTTAGCAGGGGGTGGGGTAGGCTTCCCTGAAGAGGTGGGTTTTCAGGGTGCGCCTAAAGGAGAGGAGAGTAGGTGATAATCTGATGGGTTGGGGCAGGGAGTTCCAGAGGATGGGTGACACCCTGGAGAGGTCCTGGAGGTGGGCATGGGAGGAGGAGACCAGGGAACTAGAGAGAAGGAGGTCTTGTGAGGAGCGGAGTGTGCGTGTTGGGCGGTACTTGGATATTAGGTCAGTGATGTAGTTCGGGGCAGTATGGTGGACAGCTTTGTACGTCAGTGTTAGGATTTTGAATTTGATCCGTTGCGCAATCGGAAGCCAGTGGAGGGATTGGCAGAGGGGGGGTGGCGGAGATGGAGCGGTTGGAAAGGTGAATGAGTCTGGCAGCCATAAATGAGGGGCTTCCTGATGGGGACAATGGTGGAACATCACAAACAAAGGATTTCCCAGCACACTTACCAGCCAGCCTGCAAAACAACCAAATTGTCCCTGTCTAACAGAAGGTTCCATTTGCACACATTTACAAATATATGCTGAGCCGCAGTGCCCACACCAAGGGACCGCTGTATATACTGCGGTCCTAACTGTAAATTTCCATAGCATCCATAGTAGAACATGTAAGAATGGATAGATTAAGAGCAGGTATGCCTGGAGGGAGCCCACCCTTCCTAAAAGGCACAGGAAACACATGATGTCCAGCAAGAGCACAATGACAGCGAAGGCATCCAGTGCGTCCCTGCACCCAATTCATCCAACTGGTTGTGCATTGCCCTTCCATGTGCACCTTGCTGCGGTTATAGGTTGGGGTGGTTGCCACTTTTTTGTACAACGGTGGACCATGTCTGTGTAATGTACGCTGAGACTGGGTTCACGTAGTTGCGGTGCGGTAAATCACATGTGATTTACACAGGAACCGCATCCCTGTGCAAATCACATGCGATTTGTGTGTGGTGCGATCGGATTCGTACATTTTGTATGGCTCTATTCACACTCACCCGCACCAAAAACATGCAGGACCCTTTTTTTGGTCCGCACTAGAATCGGATTGCATGGGTATTCACACCTATGTGATCCAATTCTGCACATAGCACCGTGTTTTGCGGACCGTTTCGGGGTGTTGTTTAACTCAACATACACACCCGCAGAGGTTTGCATGAACGGGGTGCAATTCTGATGCGTTGCGGAATTCGCACTGAAAACACTGCAAATTCCGCACCGCATCAGTGTGAACCAAGGCTAAATCAGCTACTTATCTCGTGTGCCCATGTGACAACAGAGGATACCACAGGACCACAGTTCAGAGAAATGAACAGAGTGTGGTCACCCTATAACAGGAAGTACCTGAACAAGGACTTTCGGGGCAGGGACTATTTTAAACAAAGCTACAGATTTTAAAAGATCTAAAATGACTTTTAAAATTTGCATTCACATGTTGAATCTTCTAAGAAATTTTAGCAAGAGGGTCTACATACACTAAAATCCATTAGCTTGGTTAAAAGGTATCGTTTGTAATTATACATTATGTATACAGTTGGCAGTCATGCTGGTTCTTTAGGCATAATGATGTGTTTCTTCCTTAATGACTTTACTTATAAATCTGTCTAGAAACAAAGTGTAATTGTACAAACACAGTCTCAAATGCATTAAATGTGGAAATCAATTCCAAAGTCAGTTTTTAACAATGGATGATGATGTGTACTTAAAGAATACAAGATAAAGCACCTAGAACAAATGAAAAAAGGAGAATGTGTCCATAGCGACCAGATTTACCGCCCAGAAAATTAGGACTAACTATAGTCTATGTACAATACAGGTAAAATTTCTCTTTCAGTTATACACCCCCAATCACAGTTTTGTGGTCACATATAGCGGCATAACCCTTGAGAAGCTGGACAACCTTTAACTTCCATAATTGTACTTAGACTTGTCTCTGTGCTTGAGGTCAACTGCTGCCCGGGGGGCTACGTGTCGCCACGAGGGCAACCCCTACATAACCCCCATCTCTCCTCTCTATACCGTCCCACTACTTTCTCCAAATTGTTTAGATTTTGCTCACATTCTTTGAACATTCAGTAAGAGTTTTTTTAACAAGTCAGTTCAACCAAAAAGGTTACACGGAGCCCCTAAGGGAGTTCAGATGTTACACACGCAGCCTCTCAGAAAGAACCAGTTAAAGATGGAACTGAACAATATAGTGATGTAAAATTCCAACACAAATCTACAGCTTGAAGTACTGAAGATTACAGAAGATGTTTATAGTAGCCCCTGATGTGAATTTCATGGTCCAAATTTGGAGATTACCCTTAATCCTTGGTGAGTTTGATGAGCAAGGTATGCTTTTTTGATGATGACACAAAGGTGTGCAATAGGGTCGATTTTCCAGGAGGTGTTTATAATATGGAACATGATTTGGCAATGCTGGAAGATTGGTCAAAGCTAAAGGGATCCCCAGCAAGAGAAATGAGGTCTTGATTCTCTTATATAGATCTTTAGTTATCACTAGAGGAGTCACCAGCAGGAGGAAAGAGGTCCAGATTCCTCTACATACAGTAGATCTTTAGTTTTCAATGAAGGGATCATCAACAAGAGGAAGGAGGTCCTGATTTCTTTATACAGCTTTTTAGTTATCCCTAGAGGAATCACCAGCAGGAGGAAGGAGGTCCCGATTCCTCTATATACAATAGATCTTTAGTTATCAATGAAGGGATCATCAATAAAGGAAGGAGATCCTGATTTCTCTATACAGCTCTTTATTCATCACTAGAGGGACCACCGGAAGGAGGTTCTAGTTCCTCCAAATAGATCTTTAGTTGTCATTAGAGGGATCACCAGCAGGAGGAAGGAGGTCCTGATTCCTCTCTATAGACCTTTAGTTATCACTAGAGGGATCACCAGCATATATATAGTATATATAGTAGATCTTTAGTTTTCAATAAAGAGACCATCAACAGAAGGAAAGAGATCCTGATTTCTCTTAATAGATCTTAAGTTATCAGTAGAGTGATCACCAGCAAGAAGGAATACGTCCTGATTCCTCTATTTGGATCTTTAGTTATCACTAGAAGGATCCCCAAGAAGGAGGAAGGAGGTCCTGATTCCTCTATATAGACCCTTAGTTATCACTAGAGGGATCACCAGCAGGAGGAAAGAGGTCCTGACTCCTCCTCTATATACAGCAGATCTTTAGTTTTCAATAAACAGACCATCAACAGAAGGAAAGAGATCCTGATTTCCCTATATAGATCTTAAGTTATCATAGAGTGATCACTAGAAAGAGGGAATACGTCATGATTCCTCTATTTGGATCTTTAGTTATCACTAGAAGGTTCCCCAAGCAGGAGGAAGGAGGTCCTGATTCCTCCAGATAGACCTTTCGTTATTACTAGAGGGATCCTCAGCAGCGGGAAGGAGGTCCCGATTCCCCTATATGGTTTTTTAAGTAGACCTTATTTAGAATATTGTGTCTAGTTCTGGAGACTTACAAAAACATATTGATAAGATAGTACAAGATAGGTGAAAAAGAAAAAATTATTAATGCTCTGAGGGATAATACATATCAGGAAAAACAGCAGGAACTTAGTATTTAGCAGTCTTGAAAAAAAAAAAAAAAAAAACCCACACAAAAGGGGGCTATGACTGAAACCCTTAAAAACATTAAGGTCCCCATTACACTACCAGGCGCGCATTATCCATGTATTGTTACAATGTATTTCACAGTTTACTTTTAACTTCAAATTCTACTCCAGGGTACACATTCCCAGTCCAGATTTTTTCCAGCCCTCACCTTCACAATCACTGATGAAGGGGGATTAGTGAAATCCCTGAAACATGTTGACTACCTTTTTTTTAATTTTTTGATGAATACAAATTTAACTGGACTGTCAACCATATTGTCTGACACTCTCTTCCTTCTACTTTACTTAATGTGTTTCAGGCAAAGGAAATCAGTAGGCAAACTAAAGACTACATTCATTAATTTAAAAAAAAAAAAAAAGAGAAAAGACTGGATAAATCTACAGTAAATCAAAAACTTCCCTGTGAGGTAAACCTGGTATATCTAGGCTGATCTTACCACACTCTCCTACCTCTCCTATATGGTACAGTGGAGGATAGTGGGCACTCAGTATGGCTCTACATTTTCAGACCGAGTCCTCCTAGGTTATGTGGGCAGCCCAGCCAACAGGTGCTGACTTGAGAACACGTTTAAGGTTTGCAAGTTAAGGTTTAATATACATCCCTATCCTCATCTGTATTATTATTATACTGGATTTATATAGCGCCAACAGTTTGCACAGCGCTTTACAAAATGAAGGTAGACATTACAGTTACAATACAATTTGGTACAAAGAGGAAACAGAGGACCCGGCTCATCAGAGTTTACAATCTAGGAGGAAGGGTTGAGTGATACAAAAGGTAAAAGCTATGGGGGGGATGAGCCGATGGAGGAAATAAATGGCGGTTTACTAGGTAGAACGCAGGACAGACATCTTTAAAGAGAAAAGGTTTTCAGGGATCGTCTAAAGGTGGACAGATTAGGAGACAGCCAGACAGATTGGGGTAGGGAGCTCCATAGGATGGGAGATGCTCGGGAGAAGTACTGGAGGCGAGCATGGGAGGGTGACACGGGAACTAGAGAGCAGAAGGTCTTGAGAGGATCGAAAAGTGAGGTTTGGTTGATATTTTGAGACCAGGTTGGTGATGTAGCTGGGGGCAGAGTTGTGGATGGCTTTGTAAGTTGTTGTTAGTATTTTGAATTTTATTCGTTGAGCGAGTTGAAGCCAGTGGAGGGATTGGTAGAGAGGGGTGGAGGACACTGATTGGAAGCCAATGGAGGGATTGGCAGAGAGGGTGGAGGACACTGATTGGAAGCCAATGGACGGATTGGCAGAGAGGGGTGGAGGACACTGAATGGAAGGCCAGTGGAGGGATTGGCAGAGAGGGGTGGAGGACACTGACAGGAAGCCAGTGGAGGGAGAGAGGGGTGGAGGACACTGAATGGAAGCCAGTGGAGGGATTGGGTAGAGAGGGGTGGAGGACACTGAATGGAAGCCAGTGGTAGGGATTGGCAGAGAGGGGTGGAAGACATTGAACGGTTGGTAAGGTGGATGAGCCTGGCAGGCAGTATTCATGATGGACTGGAGGGGGATACCTATGTAAAGGTAAGCCAATGAGGAGGGAGTTGCAGTAGTCGAGGCAAGAGATAACCAGGGAGTGAATTAGGAGCTTTGTGGTATCATTGGTTAAAAAGGGGCGTATTCTGGAGATGTTGCGGAGGTTGATCTGTAGCTATGGACTATAGTTAATGACTGAAAGAAAGAGCTTGCAAGTGCAGTAATTTCTCCCAAGGATTGCTTAACTTACCTTCAAAGATAGGTTGAGTAGTGTAACAGTTCAGAGGTATTTTACAGTGGAGCTACTACTACTTTGTATTGAAAGGTGCCAGCTGTTGTGGGCATAATATATAGAGACTCCCTGAAAGGCTGCCCTGGGAGCTGTTCCAGGCACATCAAAACAGGTTCTGGGCTGGATGGGGAACACCTTTAATCTCCAAAGGTGGAGTTCATGTGCTTTGTTAGGTAAAAGGGAGTCTGACATGGCCTGCTCTGCCTCCCATGTGACCCCTATAGGATTAAAGAACACCTCAGGTTAAGCAAAACATGCCAAACTGCATATATTACTGCAAAACAGACACCTAGACAAGTCTTAGCACAAAGTTTATAAATCTACAGTTCTAAAACCAACACTGCATGATTATGCAAAACCTGACCTTGGATGCAAGCCAATGGTGAGCACAAGTGGCAAGCAAAGACAGAGCCAAGGGTAATTTCAGAAATCAAAGCTATGATTTACAAAATAGTGTGCCCTGAGTTTTAGAGCTCCAGTAGATCTATAGGTGACTACTTTGCAGGTATATAAGCACCATGACATATTTAGGGTCTCTTTAGTAAACTTACCAGGAGAAAAACATGGGAGTTACTACTGCTGACTTCAGACGGACATACAGTGGGGATCGAAAATTTGAGCAGCACCCAGCTAAAAATTCGTATTAATGTGCATTAAGAAGCCAAGGAAAGATGGAAAAATCTCCAAAAGGCATCAAATTACAAATAATACATTCTTATAATATGTCAACAAAAGTTAGATTTTATTTCCATCATTTACACTTTCAAAATAACAGAAAAAAAAAATGGCGTCTGCAAAAGTTTGGGCACCCTGCAGAATTTATAGCATGCACTGCCCCCTTTGCCAAGCTGAGACCTGCCAGTGTCATGGATTGTTCTCAATCATCGTCTGGGAAGACCAGGTGACGTCAAGCTCAAAGGTTTTAAATGCCCAGACTCATCTGACCTTGCCCCAACAATCAGCACCATGGGTTCTTCTAAGCAGTTGTCTAGAAAACTGAAACTGAAAATAGTTGACGCTCACAAAGCTGGTAGTGGAGAAGGCTATAAGAAGATAGCAAAGCGTTTTCAGATGTCAATATATCCTCTGTTCGGAATGTAATTAAGAAATGGCAGTCATCAGGAACAGTGGAAGTTAAAGCAAGATCTGGAAGACCAAAAAAAATATCAGACAGAACAGCTCGCAGGATTGTGAGAAAAACAATTCAAAACCCACGTTTGACTGCACGATCCCTCTCCAGAAAGATCTGGCAGACACTGGAGTTGTGGTACACTATTCCACTATATAAAGAGATACTTGTACAAATATGGTCTTCATGGAAGAGTCATCAGAAGAAAACCTCTTCTACGTCCTCACCCAAAAAATCATCGTTTGAACTTTGCAAATGAACATATAGACAAGCCTGATGCATTTTGGAAACAAGTTCTGTGGACGATGAGGTTAAAATTGAACTTTTTAGCCAGAATGAGCAAAGTTACGTTTGGAGAAGGGGCACAAAATTTAATGAAAAGAACCTCTGTCCAACTGTTAAGCATGGGGTTGGATCAATTATGCTTTGGGGTTGTGTTGCAGCCAGTGGCACAGGGAACATCTCACGAGTAGAAGAAAAATGGATTCAATAAAATTTCAGCAAATTTTGGATGGTAACTTGATGCCATCTGTGAAAAAGCTGAAGTTAAAGAGAGGATGGCTTCTACAAATGGATTATGATCCTAAACACACCTCGAAATCCACGGGGGATTACATCAAGAGGCGTAAACTGAAGGTTTTGCCATGGCCTTCACAATCTCCTGACCTCAACATAATTGAAAATCTATGGATAGACCTTAAAAGAGCAGTGCGTGAAAGACAGCCCAGAAATCTCAAAGAACTGGAAGACTTTTGTAAGGAAGAATGGGCAAAGACAAGAATTGAAAGACTCTTGGCTGGCTACAAAAAGCGTTTACAAGCTGTGATACTTGCCAAAGGGGGCAGTACAAGATATTAACTCTGCAGGGTGCCCAAACTTTTGCAGACGCCATTTTTTTGTTTTCTGTTATTTTGAAAGTGTAAATGATAGAAATAAAATCTAACTTTTGTTGACATATTATAAGAATGTCTGATCTGTAATTTGATGCCATTTGGAGATTTTTCCATCTTTCCTTGGCTTCTTTATGCACATTAATACAAATTTTTAGCTGGGGTGCCCAAACTTTCGATCCCCACTGTATATGGATTGAAATTAGGGCAGTTCAGCAGGGACCAACCGAATTTTGATTCATGTTTGGGCAGGTTGGTTTTACAGAAGTCGATCTACTTCTGTTCAACCAGCCTGTTGAGTTTTTCCCAAATGATCAGTACCTCCGGTTATAGCCTGCTGCACTGATCAGCGTATTCTGATGACAGTGAAGTCTCCCTGTTGTAAGAATATGATGGCTCAGCTCATCAACATTGAGTGTGTGGATGGGGGAATCAGATCTTTTTTTTTTTTTTTTTTTTTTTTTTTTTATTACATTTTTTCATTTTTTCATTGCTGGCAGAATTAAAAATAAATGGTTAATATATATTAACCATATGGCCTGCCTATGCTCTCAATTGTTTATGCTGCTGTTTATGTACTGCGTCACCTTTATGTGCCTTTTGCACTACGTACCAATCAGACCTGTTTGGGTTTTGTATATGTTTTCTACTTTTATGCAAAATAAAAAAAATATCTTTATAAAAAAATATATGGCCTACCTTACTTTTGCAAGTGCGTGTTTCAGGGCTGTTATCTTTACCTTCCTCTCATTTTACTTATCCTTCCTTTCTTTTATTTACGGAGTCAAATATGTACGTTGGGTTCCCTGGCAACTGATATGTACATGCTTGTTCCAGGTACGTAATTCAGCTAAGAAAAATATGACAGCCCTGTAGCATGCACCTATGGAAGCAAGTCAGCAATGACAGCTATTATGTTTTTCTAAAGCCCAGGGTCACAAACTGTAGTGAAATAAAAATCAACCCTGCAAAGGAAGCCCATATCTACTTATCGTTTCTGTGGCTTATGACTTGAAACGCCATAGGCTACTGCAAGTATTCAACCCTTTTGTGTCATGGCCACTTAAGGTATCCAACCCTTTTGGGTCCTGGCCATTATAGGTATTCAACCCTCTTGTGGTCCTGGACACTGCAGGTATTCAACCCTATTGGGCCCAAGCCATTGAAGGTATTCAATCCTTTTGTGACCTGACCACTACAGGTATCTGTTTTGGGTCTTGGCCGCTGCAGGTATTCAACCCTTTTAGGTTCTGGCCATTGTAGGTATTCAACCCTCTTGTGGTTCTGGCCATTGCAGGTATTCAGCCCTTTTGGGTACAAGCTATTGAAGGTATTCAACCCTTTTGTGACCTGGCCACTGCAGGTATTCACCTGTTTTGGGTCTTGGCAGCTGCAGGTATTCAACCCTTTTGGGTCCAAGCCATTGAAGGTATTCAACCCTTTTGTGACCTGGCCACTGCAAGTATACACCTATTATGGGTCTTGGCCGCTGCAAGTATTCAACCCTTTTGGGTCCAAGCCATTGAAGATATACAACCCTTTTGTGACCTGGCCACTGCAGGTATTCACCTGTTTTGGGTCTTGGCGGCTGCAGGTATTCAACCCTTTTCAGTCCTGACCATTTCAAGTATCCAACGCTTTTGGGTCCTGTTCACTGCAGGTATTCAACCAGTTTGGGCCCTGGCAACTACACAAACCCAACTCTTTTGGGTGCTGGCCAATGCACCATGGCCACTGTAGCTATACACCCCTTCTGGGTCTTGGCCACTGCAGGTTTTAAACCCTTTTGGCTCCTGTATTAAAGTAGGAGCTGGAGAGAGGAACCAGTGCATGTGGCAGGAGGAGCAGGTATTCAAACACCCAAAATTATAAATTACCTGCAACAGCCAGGAAGCAGTGCGGTGATGGTGTTTGAAGACATGGGCCACCAGAAAGGCAAGTATAGATGTACTTTCTTTTACAGGGTAGACTTTCTTTTATAAGTGGCCCCGTGATGATAGGTTTACTTTAAAACAACTGGAAGTCAATTAAGGAATGAATGAACAAATGTCCCTGTAAGGCAGTGTTGCTCTAAGGGCTCATGTACACTACAGCTGATAAACTCACATTTAGGAGCTGTTCAGCGTTTTTTTCAGCAGCCCCTGAACTCTCCCTAATGTTTTCCTATATGACCATGTACACATCTTCGTTTACAGTCCGTTGAGTTTACAGTCTTTTTTTGAACGCAGAAAACTTGCGTTCAGCAGTCGATTTTATCAGCATTTCAAACGCAAAGCGCTTGTAAACGCGGCAAGTCACGTTTATAAGCGTCTGAAAATTTTTTTTGTAACTCTTCCAGTTGCCGATGCTGTCCAGAGCCTTTTTTCATCATGAAAAGTGCATGCAAAGCGTTTTCAAGGTACTCAAATGGACAAAACACTGAACACAGGATGTTCCTACTAAGCTTGTCACACATTGTAATGACCAATTCACACCTCAGACCTCTCCCGCCCTTGGAAACAAAAGATATGTTAATGACCATTCACACCTCAAATTCCTCATGGCAGGTGGCCTTAATGACTCCCTCCACCAGACACCTTTCCCACCCTTGGAAACAAAAGAAATGTTAATGAGCAACTCACACCTAAGCTAATCTCAACACATACTGCTGTCTCTGCTTCTACTCTCTGTCTTTCTCTGAAACAGTCTGAAATAGTTAATAATTTACCACTTTTCAGTGCATTCTGGGCATTTGGGAGGTTCTCCTGTGCTTATCTTTAAAAAACTCTTCTAAACGCAAACGCGCATAAACGCATTATGCAAACACGGCTAAACATACGCTTTTTAACCTTCGTTTTCCAGCAGTCAGTTTCCATCATTCAGAAGTGTCCCGTGTACATGAGGCCTACGACATTAGTAGGA